TGATAGGGGTATGTGGTTATGAATGAAAACAGCCTCTCTGGCCATTTGTGAATAGAACACATAAACAACAAACAAATAACGATTAAACTTTGAACAATATGTCTGTTCATTATAAAGCATAATGAATACGTACATACTATGTTTTTTTTTCACCTCAAAGAAACAGGCATAGTATCCATAGATGGATATTGGCTGGCGGCTCATTAACATACAGATACGAAAAACATAAACAGTATCACTATGATCCATGGAGTAACAATACTGCTTTGTAAGTTTGTGAAGAAATCGGAACCATAACGGCATTGCATCGTTTCAAATTAGGGCATTATTTACTTCTATTTGATCTCAGTCTTATAATAGTAATAATAATAATAATAATAATAATAATAATAATAATAATAATAATAATGATGATAATAATGATAATGATAATGATATGATAATGATAATGATGATAATAGCCTAATAGTCCACTCCAAATTTTATTAAACCGAAACGGAAATTCTTTTTGCCCAATTGATCGTGAGCCCGGCAGCCACTGAGCAGCGCCAGATCGACGTTGCTCTATCCCTTAATGTTGAACGCCAAACAAGGTAGCAACAACTCCCATCTTTTAACGTCTTTTGGTATGACGCGGCCGGGGTTCGAACCCACGACCTCCCGGTTGTGAGGCGGACGCTTTACTGACTGAGCCAACACTCCGGTGTTTTTTTTTTTTTTTTTTTTTTTTTTAATAATAAAAATAATAATAATAATAATACAAATTAAAAATATTACGAATACAAATAATAATGCTAATACTAATAGGTTCCTTTTATCTCGCATTTCAAGACAGGGTAAATTCACACTGCGCTTTACATGAAACAAACATCTTTAAACATTTCAAACTTATGTCTTCATGCATCAATCAACATACTTTAAATGAATACAAAACAAAGTGCATCTTAAATAAAACAAAAATAAATAAATAGTTAACAATACAGAAAAGATGTAGCTGCTGCAAGCTTAACAACAAACTAATGTATACCAGTCAGTCCTGATATCAGTATTAGTGTAACAATAGTCATTATAGTGGGAGCATGAAGTTGAACAATTCATGATTATACATAATTATATATGTTTGTTTGAATAATACTTGTTATAAAGATAGTAGTATGGATAGTGTGGATAGTATGGATAGTAAAGATAGTAGTAGATAACCACAAAATACTTGTAAGATTTTCTTTTTTTTACCGTCTGAATTGGCTTTCACCGTGTGAATGCGGCTAATAACAATAAACACAATTACAATAATGATGAGGATTATTATTATCATCATCATAATTATTATTATTCCCCAAAACCTGGGGGGGGGGATGATTGTACATGCCATCCCCCTCATCCCCCCCCCCCCCCGTTGTCTACGCCCCTGATCTGGAACATTGGCAATGGAATTGGTCAAGCTGACCACCTTTCTTCTTCTTCTTCCAAGAAAGTGCTGCTTCAAGGACTTAAGATTTCCCTCTGTGGGTGCATGTGAGGAGCCTGTTGGCCAGGATCACTGTGCATATATATACAGGGTGCAAGTAAAAACTTTGAATCCATTGAGGCAATTAGGGGTGCATCTTCCCCCTGGATCTACTGGAAGGTTGTTCCAGTCCTTGGTAGTTCTGGGGAAGAGGGAGCTGATGTACACTTTGCTGGTACACAGTATCGCTCTGAAGCGGGATCCGTGACCTCTAATTGTTACAGATGTTGCTGCTTGGAGGCATCGTTGTCATTTAACGTCAACAAGACCGAAGCGGGTGTGTACAGCAGTGTAAGAGCAATTTTTTTTTTTTTTGCCCTCGAAGATTTAAAAATCGCACCCCTCCCCCTTGAGCAACAGGGGAGGGGGCCCGTTTCCAAATAAAGGTAAAATTAACGTGTTTTACCTGACCCTCCCCCCTGGATCCGCCACTGCCCCCCCCCCCCCCTCCTACCTTCCCTAAAAAAACCATCCTAGATTCCATCCAAGTTCAAGTTTCAAGTTTAGGCCTACATTATAAGGACACCAAACTTACGCGATGTTCAAATTACCGCCTCATCCTTATAAGCAAAGCCTGGATCCGACCCTAATACTAAAGATGAAATGCCAGCATTGAAAAGAGAAAACGGGATGAATGATAAAAGATTGCATGCATGATCAGTCGATTTTTCGACCTGAGAGACTAAGCTTTAACTCTTTATGCGCCACTTAAAAAACCCCCCTGTGCCACATTCTTTTAGGGTCACACATTTCGAGGGAATCTTTATTGACTCTGCTGAATCAAGAGGCTATAACTCTTCACTGGATGATCATGATGAAAAATATTGTGCAGCAAAGTTGTAGACCGGAAAACGTGCTTTTCGATGAACCGTCATTTGTTATATTTTGAATTATCATTTTTATAATAATCATAATTATATAATGTTTAATTTTTCTTATTTACGGCAGTTTTTTATCCCTCTAGAATTTCTTATTTAGCAATGATAAGACATCTTCAAATCGAATCTATTAGAAAGGTGGACTTCTTACCTTTCTTTACATACCTTGCTCAAGTATTCTAACAATTCAGAAGGTTAGTATTTAGGTTGTTGAAGAAAAGAAGTTCAATAGGGAGAGACTTGAAAGTACCCCGCTCAGCCACCCTTGACAATGGGCTAATCTGCCCATTGAAATCCCTATTACCCCAGGTTATTGTCAATGTCCGGTTTAGCGGGGCATGAAAAGGGACGTCGTGGGGATGTTTTTCTTTGTTGTGCCATGATAAGTCAATAAGAAATAAGAGAATGTTATTGATTTTGCCCACTGGTATGAGCATGTAAAAATGGTATAGGCATAATATATTATATGTGATATACATGACATAATCAGCATCTTATTGAAATGTCTCATTATGAATGTTCACCGCATCTGTTCTCTCACCTTCTTTACCCCTCAATAAAATTGATTTCAAGTACATTTATCACAGCCATAGATATACAAAGAAAGAATGAATCAATCTTAAAATATAAACTATATTGCATTGTTTTCCATTTACTTTATTGTGAGAGAGCTTATTATCAGAAATGATTGACGAGTGGAGTATGCAATGAATAAAATATGGAGAACGGACGTGAGAGACATTATGAGAGAGAAATAGTGATATGAAATGAAAGGACTTTACTGTGAATAAAGATTATAAGAGAAAGAGATAAAGATGACGGCAAGACAGGATACATATTGATACGAAAATAACAATAATAATGAGATAGAGATGACGGAAAGAAAGAGAGTAAACACTGATAGCATAAGAATGAATAAAGATAATAAGAGAAAGATATAGAGATGACGGCAAGACATAGGGTACATATAGATAGGAAAATGATAATAATAATAAGATAGAGATGACGGAAAGAAAGAGAGTAAACACTGATAGCATAAGAATGAATAAAGATAATAAGAGAAAGATATAGAGATGACGGCAAGACATAGGGTACATATAGATAGGAAAATGATAATAATAAAAAGATAGAGATGACGGAAAGAAAGAGAGTAAACACTGATAGCACAAGAATGAATAAAGATAATAAGAGAAATATATAGAGATGACGGCAAGACATAGGATACATATTGATAGGAAAATAATAATAATAATAAGATAGAGATGACGGCAAGAAAGAGAGTAAACACTGATAGCATAAGAATGAATAAAGATAATAAGAGAAAGATATACAGATGACGGCAAGACATAGGGTACATAATAGATAGGAAAATGATAATAATAATAAGATAGAGATGACGGCAAGAAAGAGAGTAAACACTGATAGCATAAGAATGAATAAAGATAATAAGAGAAAGATATAGAGATGACGGCAAGACATAGGGTACATAATTATAGATAGGAAAATGATAATAATAATAAGATAGAGATGACGGAAAGAAAGAGAGTAAACACTGATAGCATAAGAATGAATAAAGATAATAAGAGAAAGATATAGAGATGACGGCAAGACATAGGGTACATATAGATAGGAAAATGATAATAATAATGAGATAGAGATGACGGCAAGAAAGAGAGTATTACACTCATAGCATAATAATGAATAAAGATAATAAGAAAAAGATATACAGATGACGGCAAGACATAGGGTACATATAGATAGGAAAATGATAATAATAATAAGATAGAGATGACGGAAAGAAAGAGAGTAAACACTGATAGCATAAGAATGAATAAAGATAATAAAAGAAAGATATAAAGATGACGGCAAGACAGGATACATCTTTCTTTCATTAGTTTTATTCATTCTTATTCTATCACTGTCTACTCTCTTTCTTGCTGTCATCTCTAGCTCTTTCATTAATTTTTATTCATTCTTATTCTATCAGTCTACTCTCTTTCTTGCTGTCATCTCTATCTCTTTCTTTCATTATTTTTATTCATTCTTATTCTATCACTGTCTACTCTCTTTCTTGCTGTCATCTCTATCTCCTTCTTTCATTTTTTTTATTCATTCTTATTCTATCAGTCTACTCTCTTTCTTGCTGTCATCTCTAGCTCTTTCATTAATTTTTATTCATTCTTATTCTATCAGTCTACTCTCAGGGAACACTTTTATCACTAGAGTCTTCGTCACTGCTCGATTCGTCGGAATCAGAGTCCATGCTCCATGCTTCCATAGTAACAAGATCTCGAGCCTCCTCTACACTAAACACACGTTGACGTTTTCCAGCAGGTGCCATCGTAACATCAGTAAAAAAAATCCAAAGAAAACCGCTAAATACACGGTAATTTCGAATGTAACACTATGAAGAAAAACAGTTTACCGGAAAGTGTGCGATGTATACAATGTAAACAATAGTAAACGCAACGCGTGGCTACACACTGCGAGCGGTATTATGAATGTCTAATTGACTCGTATACATCTGTGCAAAAATGCGAAGTTGGCACGCCTACGTCCGTGCAAATCGGCGAACAAAGCAAACAAAATTAATAGAGCGTACCGTGATTTTCGTAGTATAGCGCCATCTACGTTTCTATAACACTGCGCTTAGTGTAGTTTGCGAGTGAGTGACTGGCAAAAACAGAAAGTGAGAGGAGCAGTTCGGAACCCCAAAAGTTAATTTAGATCTATATAGGGTTCCATGGTTAACTGTGTGTATTTTTGAATTTTTGCTAATAGTTTGGATCAAAATCAAAAGGATACCAACATGCAGGGAATTCCACATGGACACGAGACCGTCCCGAGTTACCATCCAGTAGAACAACAGAGATTCAATCCGTACACGTTCAATGGAGGGTAAGGCTATGGCATAACCGGTCAGCAGGTAGCTCAGTGAAATGAATGATTGGGAGATTCCATGACATTTGCTCCGGCGACAATTGCTGCGCTGTAAATTTCATACACTAATCGAATGGCTAACTTCAACCCTGGATTCAACACTATACCCTACCCTAAACCTAACCCTAAACCTAACATAAAACCCTATTGAAACCCTAACCCTAACCCTAGGTCTACATCTTAGACGAAATAAAGCTCGGAGCAATTGTCGCAGGAGCAAATGTCGTGTCACCGATTGGGAGCCTGCGCTCTTTATTAGTTTTGACGTAATGTTTAAAATTCTCTTATGTTCCTTTAATCATTAATTTGATAGTATTCCTTGCATTCAAATGGGTAAATCATGTGCAAAATCTCATCAAAAGCTTATGCAAAAAGTGCCCCTGTAGGACCTAGATCTATAAAACTTTTAAAAGCTGTAAAAAAAATGGGGAAATGGCAAAACAATGTCGATGAATTAAAAAACACAGCGAAATGGCAAAACGATGATCATGAAGACGTGATCATAAGGGGAGCTGGTACAAGATTGAGGATCAAGAATGTACGTCCGCAAATTAAAGATCGTCCACGTTTTTTCTGCGGCGCTTTGCGGCTGTAATGACCGTCAATGACCAAAGGTCCGAAGTTCGGGTGATGAATATTTACTTCATTTTGGGTATGTTTTAGTAGGGCATCTCCACGCCGGAGTTACGGGTCAAAGTTTGAATAGACTTCTTAACTAGCGCCGAAGTTAGCAACCGTAATGATCATCATCAATTCTTAAATTGAATTACTTGCATGAATTTAACGAGGATCTGAGATTACAGACAGTCGCTAATAATAATTTTTAAAATCATTTATTTGAACAATTGTAGAAGATTTATATAATTTTTGGTGCGTTATAATAAGGTTATGGGTTCAGAGGAGACTCCAAAGTATGGTCACAGTTGACAGTTGTGAACAAGCACCAGATTTTCTTTTAAGTTCAATGCATTTTCCTCTGACTCTGAGATGCCTACTCTGTCTCTGATCAGTGGTACTTGGTGACAATATGATAATTGATATTGATATCAACTTACCTTAATTAGCACCAATTTCCGCACCAAACGAACCTTGCACACTGGCTTTGGAGTTTGCTAGTGGACTCTTCTTCTGCATTCAGAGCACTTTGAAATTGGTCTAGAATTTAACCCAAAAGGTGAAAGCTTGATATAGATTGCAAAATTTTAGTAATTTCCTTCCTTCCACATGTTCCTGAATCCTGAAAGTTTTCACCTTGCCAATTTGATACTTTACAATAATAGTGATTACTTTACTATACTAAGGCATCTACAAGTTTGCTGAATTTAGCGACTCTAGCGCTCAAGCCTTATTACACTATTTGCTATGATTGTAAAGTATCATGTATGATTACGGTATAATATATATTATCATTTGTAACCAGCTCCATTCTCCGATGTTTTCAATACTTGCAATTTGCAAATGTTGGTAATAAATGGATACACGAGCACACCTGCAATTAATGTTTTATTTTCCTCTCAACAGTGAATCTGCAAGTCTGCAACCAATTGAAAATTATTGTTTTGTTCATCAGACCATCATGCAAATAGAAAATATCTTGTATATCTGATGATATTTTATTACCCCTTTTTTTCTCCCAGGACTATCATGGCCATGGCTGGTGATGACTATGCAATCATTGCTTCGGACACTAGGCTGAGTGAGGGCTTCTCAATACACACCAGGGATAGTCCAAAGAATTATCGGCTGTAAGTAATAAGTATTCACATTTGTAGTGATTGGCCCTTATTTTACACAAATGTAAACATTGCCCGGGGATAGCTCTTGTTCAAAATCAGGTTTAACATTTAGGAAGTTAGTCGATCTGAGATCTTTGTTTTTGTTTTGTTAAACATGATAGGGGTTTAACTGAATATTAAAGTAGAATACAGAACATTGAAAGTAAATGTCAGCTTTGATATCTTGGTTTGAGAGACAGAAGGATCTTTACTCCAATACGTTAACACAAACTGAACACCCGTCTCGGCCTGAAATTGTGGCTCTCAGCAGATGATACGTTGTATATTTTCTTGTGATTCTACATGTACATTTGTATTATTCTAAAGGTCTCCCCCAATACACATACATGTATGACATATTTACATAGTAACTACTGACCAAAATAATCAAAACAAAACAAAAAACAATAACAACATTAAATATTGAAGTTATTTTCTGTGTTGGACTTCAGTGTTCCATGAAAATAATTGAAGGCATAAATACTTGGACTCATTAGAACTGCGAGTATGAAATCATTTGAATTGAATAAAGTTGGTGTTAAGCTAAGAGCCTGAGACCAAACTTTATTTTTTGGGAGGGAAATTTTGAGAAATGCAAGAGATATAACTTTGAAAGATGAATATTCAAAGTTTAGAAATGGAAAATAAATGAATGATGCAATTTTGAAATAGGGGCAGTTTGGCTTGTTTCAGGGATAACTTACTTATCTTTGTCTCTATCTTTGAGACGATGCAGCTTAACCCTATGTTAACTGGGGGGGGGGGGGGGGGGGGTCAATTTGACCCCCCCCTGTAGAAATTTCGCGACTACTCCGAAACCGCGGCAGATATAAATTTTTCCTTCCATGACTTTTTACTTTCGAGTCTTACGCATCTTTTAAAACGATTTTTTTCGAAAATCGGACCTACGGTTACATGGTCACGTGACCTTTTGTCTTTGCATGTCAGCCCGAAAATCGCTCATTTTCGTGATTTGTGTACAAAACATATGTAAAAGTCATTTTTCTTAAAAATAGATAAAACATTGGTTATTCAGTCTTGTTTAAAGTTTAGATGTTTGTTTTGGTGTCAAAATAGTTGAATTGTAGTTATAAATGAAATAAAACAACAAAAACAATAAAATACATAAGTTAAAAAAACAATGAAATACATAAGAAATTATAAAAACAAGAGATAACATAAGGAATAACATGGCTCTTCCAATTTTTTGTGTTGTATTATTATTCCAAATGGTCTAATAAATATATGTAGTGAAAAAGAATACGTAAACATGAATAATCTATGATTTATGGGCAGAAATGTGAATTTGATGACCTTATTTGCATAAATTACCATAAATATGCAAATGAGTGAATTTTTCAAAAATTTGAAGTTACCATAGTAATCTATACACTTCACTTGACATGCATGCAAACTTTCGCGACGATCGGCGGTGAAACGGCCGAGATCTTAGGGGGGGGGGGGGGGGTCAAATTGACCCCCCCCCCCCCCAGTAAAAACCTGGTCTGAAATAGCCCAGTTAAAATAGGGTTAAACAGTATTTCAAGGAAACCACTCTGAACCTTTTTTATTGTCAAATATAGAGCTGTACACTTTACATGAGATTCATTCATTAGAGATGAAATTGATGAATATATTTTTTTTTCTTCTTCAGAACCGATGGTACAGTTCTTGGATGTGCTGGTTTCCATGGTGACGTGCTTACATTGACAAAAGTTCTTACTGCCAGACTAAAGGTAGATGTTCTTATACTTCTTGACATATCAATGGCTCTTATAATTGTTTTCCAAATGTGTAATTAATAATTCATTTTAGGTGCTCCCACTTTTCAATATTGAGTTTAGTGATATAAGTCTGTATTTCCATGGTTCGTGACAAAAGAAAATTGAATGATAGTGTTATCAGCAGCAAAATAATTGTGGGAAGCAATATCTTTATCTCCCCAAACCCCCAGAAGAAAATATTACAGCTACATGTATATATCTGTAGGTAGCAAATTACATTTTCTAAGTGGAGTTTTCTTAGTTCCTTTAGAATTTAATTTTTAATTTCTCTTTTAATACATTGATATAGTTGGAACAAAGAGATTTATAGATAATTCCGGAAAATCTCAAGAATCTATCTCTAGAAATTTTTGTTATCAATAGTGCTCATGAAATTCCATTATAAAGCAGGATTATCTTTTGATAGGATTTTTGAATAATGATGCAATCACCACCTCCCAACATATTGATATGTAGTATGTGAAATATATGCCAGTGCTAATCTAATCTATAGACTATATCAATCTCTGTCTTTTAATCTGATTTAAATTTGACTAGATGTACGAGCATGAACACCACAAGAAGATGTCTACTACAGCCATAGCAGCGATGCTTTCTACAATCCTCTACTACAGGAGATTCTTTCCATATTACACCTACAACATTCTAGCAGGGCTTGATGAAGAGGGTGAGTTACCTACTGTTTCCAGTGGTGTGTCTTATCTGGGGAGGGGGGGGGGGTGGTACATGCAGATGCCTAGGGTGGCACGTGAAGGGGGGGGGGGGGTGTAATAAATGAATGCGGAGTTAGAGAGAACCAGCCTAATCCGATGAGTGTTACGTTTGATATTCAGACAACCTGCCTAATCGACTCCAAACCGACCGATTCTTGGGAAATTTGTCAAAATGTTAATTCCCGACCGTTTGATTAGTTGTCGGCAGTCTCATCGGTGTGACCATGGACTTAATACGGATGGACATTCAACGTGATTCTTTCTTTGATCCAATCATAGTCGCTGCCTTCTGATTATGTGCATCTTAATGAGAACATTCAGCTGTTTTAACAATAACGACTGCGTAAGCATTTTCGGTCATTGACAAAGGAGCAATTTCCCTCTCTTGGGTTTTGTTGGATGGTGTGCTCTGTAAGAGTGTGTCTTAAATAAAAGCATCCTTAATGGGGAGCATCGAAGTTGAAAAGCAGACGATTTTGGTGATATGAAATTTATTATTACTGATTCGCAAACTTTCGCACACACCTATGACCTTATAAAACAATTAGAAGGCCATGATCTGTATCAGCCCTGTGTGTTGTAACTCTGGAATATTATGAGGAAATAGGGGGAAACTGGATTTGAAATCACAACCAAAAAATCCAAAAATAACCTCTATGGTAATATCAACATGTTTTTCAAAAAAAAAATACATGTACAGTACACGGAACAACAATTTCCGATCATAAGCCAGAACTGCACATCTATTTTCCATGATTTAGGCAAGTAATTATCTTCTGCGCATGTAGATTAAGATGTGTAAAATCACTATCTTGATTCTGTCCCGGATTATGGCCGGCAACCATGATGAGACCAAAGGGAAGAAACATGTAAGGAATGTTATTGAGACAACATTGAATGTTAAGTCATATATGTTCACATGTTATTTTAGTTGATTATATGTTGACTGTACATCTATGCATATATTTGTTCTCATTTCTCTATGTAACTCGTTCTAATTTTGTCCCTTTACGCCTCAGAATAGTTTACTAGGTAAATGGCGCATATTTCAAATGCTGTATTTATTATCATTATATTATTACCTTCTTTCACACCTTGCAGGTAAAGGTTGTGTGTACAGTTTTGACCCTGTGGGTTCTTACGAGCGTGAGACGTACAGGGCTGCGGGATCATCTAGCGCCCTCTTGCAGCCTCTCCTTGACAACCAGGTCAGTAGATATGTCAAACTGGGGATTGTTTCACAAAGATCCTAAGTCGAACTTAACTCTAAGTTGGATTCAACAATTCTCGCTACCCTAAATAGGTACGAAAATCTCGAAATTCGCGAGACAAGGTAATTTTCACTCTCTCGGGTCGTCACTACAACTTCCGGTATAGAGTCCCATCCCGCTGGCGCTAGCGCCTGTGTTCGCTGTGCAGAGTTTTCACGCACGCTAAAATCAGGGTTCTTACGCTTGGAATCATGAGCCCAGCACTGTGCAGCCTCACAAAAGAAAACCATCGTCACTGATGTCAAAAGACGCAAAAAACAACGAATGAAATGTTCAAATAAACGTTGAAATATTTGCGAAAAAAAAACAAGACCGAGCAGACGACATATTCGGTGCATACACGTTGTGTGGCGACGGCGTTTTACGTTTGCGCTATCGCGCCTAGTAATATAGCGCCTGCACAGGAAGCTGTAATGTCGAAAAGCTATCCCATAATGCAATGCGCGTTTTCAGGATTTTCCCCGGATCTCGGCAGAATCGCTATTTGGGGTAGCGAGAATTATGGAAAGCTGTTAGCATCTATGAAAATATTTTGTAAAAGTTATTTGAAAAGGCTTAAAATTTTGATTCAAATTCTTCATGTTTTCTATTATCAAGGAGATTTTATGTTCCTGATGTGGAATTTATAAAAAGTCTAAAATACTTGAAATTCCGCTTTTAAATATGCTTTATTTTAAGGCTTCAAATGGCTCTCCATAATTTTTAAGTCCAACTTAGAGATAAGTTAAACTTAGGATCTTTGTGAAACACCCCCCTGGAGGTTCATTTGAGAAGGTCAACCAGCCAGGCTCCCTACAGGGCCAGTCACATATCAGTGATAAAGAATCAAAATCTTTACTGATGATAATAGTAGAGGTTTCGATATGTCTGATTTGGCCGGCGATAAAATCGTATGCTTCTTTGAGTCAAACACCATGGGCACTGTTTGCATGGCATGCAAAACAATGGGCCTTTGTTGTATGGACCTGCTGGCTTTAATAATCCAGATACTAGAACATTTGTTGTATGTAGTAAACAAATGTAAGCACAGATTATTTAAAGCAATATGTTGCTTCAATCATAATGAGAAAGCACATGAAGATATCCTGCAACCAGAGTCATAAAAGGGGGGGGGGCATTTTGACAAGATTTAATTTAAAATCTAAAGAGCCCTATCATTTATTTAAATCAAACTGATGCATTTACATTACTAGAAAACTTGAACTTTTATCTTACTTTTCCTCATAGATTGGTGGCAAGAACCAGGAAGGTTGGGTGAAGGAGCCAATTCCTGTCGATAAAGCCGTCGCTCTAGTCAAAGATGTTTTCATCTCGGCAGCTGAGCGTGATATCTACACCGGAGACGGGATCGTTCTTCACGTTCTTACGAAAGACGGCTGCAAGGAGGAGAGATTCCCTCTTAGACGAGATTAACCGTTTTTTGTCTCGTGTTTGTACAGTGTAAAGCTCTCAGCATCCTATGCTGTCTGACTATGACAGAATTTTTGAAAAAGTTACATTTGGTTCTTTGTTGTTGAAATATCAAACTTAAGAATCTTTCTGAATTAGGTTTCAGAGTAGGCATACAAAGCTTGGAATGGCAATCAAAAGAGAAATCGCGAAGTCCGCTACAAATCACAGACTGCCATGAACATCGTTTTATTTTGGTCCTCTATTTTGATGATTTTTCTGAACTAATCGTCTGTTTGCATTTGAATGTGGTATGACCAGTTAAAATCTAGATGTACAATATTTTACACTATTCATTGTCCATTATTCCAAGTGTGACTTTTTCCTGTGCACTGTCATAGTCAGATTGTTTAGTGCATTTTGTCCTTGGTATGTAGTTTGAATTACTCTATACATCAATAAGATTTGTCAAGTCGTCACATTGACCCTTTAATTGTGGTCACAGTTTTGTTCTAGTATTGCCCATCAAAATTTACTGGCGCTAGAAGGACCAAGTCCTAGCAATCGTGTAATCAGAACACATTTAAGTGAAAATATTGGTAATTATTCAGGGCTTGTTTCCACATTAGGTGATTTTGTTCTCAAAATGGCTTAGGTAAAACAAAATAAATTATGCAGCACATGTATTTTGCAAGTTTTGTATCCCACAGCATTGCTTCTCGATACAGGAATATTTTGATTAATGTTCAATCTGAGGGCCTTTGCAAGATAGATTTTAACTTCTTGGATAAGATTTAGCCATTAGTAATAGGAAGGAAAAGGGCAACCCTGTGAAAATTTCCAGACAAACTGAAACTATGTACCATCTTATTTTACTTTTATATTCAGTATCATAGGAATACAAGTATCAATGAAGCGGGAATCCAAAGCCAAATTAATACCCTTTCCATTTTGATATTTCTCAAGATTTTTGTATCATCATTTGGTCACCTCTGTCAAAAGGCTGTTTGCATATTCTTTCATGAAAAATTACCTATCATTTGGATGCATTTGGAGGAATAAGATTGTACAATGTCCATGCCTTGATTTATATTACAGACTTTGTACTTCATGTACACACAGTAAACCTTGGCCATTCATAAAAGCCTGTAACGTCAAATCTTATTTTGAAATGTAACTCTGCAGAGTTGTATGTTCGAAAGATACTTGTTGGTCTCCATCCACTGTTAAACCTATATGCTATTCAGGGATAGCAATGATCAGCTGAAAGCTAGCACCGCCACATGAATGGAAATCCATCACATGCTGGAAGGGGATTATTCCTTTATTTTACCTTAGGGAGTGTAGTAATTCGACAGTGGAGGATTAAAAAGTCGTATTGACAAAGAGTTTGCACAATTTTTCCAAGTTACATTGTAGAAAGTAATACAATCTTTGTATGTAATGAGAGAATAAAAAAGAATTTGTGTATGACACACAGACTGCATAGTACGCTTGATATGTTTTCATCGGAAACATACCAAACGAGAACTGTATCAGATGTTATGGAAAAATATTGTTGAAAATAGGACAATAGGCAGAGGCAGTAAAGGGGAAAGAATACGCAAGAGACGAGAGAGTGAAAAGAGGGCGAGAGGAAAGAAATAGGATAAGAGAAAAATATGGTCAATTACAAGACAATATGAAGACATGAATGAGAGAGGATAAAGGATGGGAGGGAAGAAAGGAAGAGTACAAGAAGGTTCAAGTTCATTTATCTAACACTAATCATTAAAAATACAGAATATATAAAAAATAGTCAATATTTACAAATACAGAATAATATCGTACATCCAAACAAAAAACATAAAATAATAAGAGTGAAAGGATGAGCTAAAAAAGGAGTATAGTCCTTTTGCAAGAGTCCATCCCTCATATATAATATTATTCAAACTATTTGTCGTATACCATTGGAAGCATAAAATAAAAACAAGGGGAGGAGGGTAAAGAGCCTGGTCAAGATGGAGATAAGATGAGTGAAACTGAGAGTGATAATAGGTAGAAAGATGAGAGAACAAGAGGAAGGGAAGGGGATAAGAAAGGGAGAAAGAGGAACTGGATAGTGAGGGAATGAAAAGAGGATGGAATGAAGGAAAGAATTCAGGAAACCAGGAAGTGAATAACAGGCCAGCGAGAAGATGAGAGAAAGAGTGAGAGAAACGGAGAGAAAAAACCCAGCTAAATGCAAAGGAGAAACAGAGGGGTTGAAAGGATTTACAGAAGAGAAAATTACATGTGCAGGAATATGGAAACAATAATTTGAGGTAGCTTTGTTTATCAAATGAACTAAGTGTATATTGTCATTGTTACATAAGATTTCATGCAGTCATCCACTTGCACATGTTCAAATGCAGTTTATTACATGCTATGCCTCATCCGTTAAAAAAATAATTTTAGCGCAAATATTTCATGTGCTACAAGTACAGCAAAGTTTGCTCGATCACTAACATTTATACAAAACTTGGCAAAGCAGGACTTTGTAGTGTTGAAGCGATATATTATATATATATATATATATATTATTTATCTTAATTAACTGCTTTTAAAATCCTAAGCTTGTAAATTGTTTTCAAATAGAACAGGTAAAAGACTGTCAGTGCAGTATAATCAATGGACACTATACGTTGTAAATAAAAGTGAAAAGGTGGATGCCTGATAATTTTTCAAAATGGCCGCCATGTACTGTTGAACGATTTTGGACATCACTCATATAACCATGCATGACAGGTCATATGAAAGGAAATTAAATTTCTCTCAAGATGATATCCCATTTTATAGGTTTGAGGATAATTTGCATTACAATTTGAGCAATAAATGTGAGTTTTACACTTTCTTCCAAAAATATGAATTTCCCCAAAATACATATTTATCTATATTTAAAGAATTATGATAAGTGCTGACTTGGAAATTTTTGAAAAACCATAAGTATTGTTCATATCATATCTAAATTCCAAGTTCTTTGCTTTTCTAACAAATTATTATACCGCTCTAAATATGACACTTTGGTATGACCCTCCCGCTATACAACTAAAGTCATGAAAGTTATTGCCCACAATGTCATTGGCAGACTGAAATATCATAATAAATCTTGTAGGAACTCCCATCTTGAAAAGAATCCAGTTATAATACAAACAAGTTATAACCCCTTCCCTTACTACCCAATCCTAAACAAAACACTGCCCCGCACATTTTTTTAAATATTTTTGTAAAAGTAATTTTGTTTTATTCCTCCAAATGTAATACAAAAACAAAAAACATATACAACTGTACAAAATGAATAAACGTTTTCAATATTAATTGCTTAAACATATTTTAAAAAAAACTCATTTGCGGTATATATATAACTGAGCAACAAAAGAAAACTTAAAGTACATAAACATAATTTGTAATTCAATTGTAAATGTTATTCAGTCTTTATATAAAAAAAATTAACAAACTGGAAGTTATTTTACTGCTAGGAACAAAGTCCTGCTCCTCCCTGCCCCCATCCCTCACACAAACACCACACACACACACACGCAGACATGTAAACGCCTTCAATCGGGGAGGTAGGCAAAACACCATGAAACTGTGGAGGTAATAAATATAGGCTTTATAAGCAATATTTTATCAAATTTGAGGAAAGAAAATCACAATAAGCCCATTCCAATGTCAAAAGATACTAAAAAACGTTTACTTCTTCTTACACATGATTCGTCTGAATTTGAGCTATGAAAGTGCGGTGTCTGCATCTAGTCATTGTCAATCGGGGAAGTAGGCATAAGACCTAGCAAACGTGGAGTTTGTCGATTTTTATCTTTTCCTTGTAAACTTCGAACTAACTCATGCAAAAAAGGATATTATTATGTTTGCTTGTATTTAAAACAATGAAGGCAATGCTGTCTTTCAAATCTTAATTTCCACAATATAATATCAATCTTAGAAACAAGAGTTATGGTCAACAGTTGACCGTTGTGTATCATGTAAAAAGTCTTGATAAATATGATCTTGATTTACTGTATGGAAGCCAGTGGCGGATCCAGCCGGCGGGAAGAGGGGGGGGGGCCCAATCCGTGAGAAAATATTAGTTGCGACTCAGCCGTCGGTGAATAAGCGGGGGGGGGGGGGGGGTAGGAAGCATTTTTTGGGGGTGCAATTTTTCAGGAAATATTTTGCGCCGACTTAGTCAGCCGGTGAATAAGCGGGGGGGGGGGGGGGGGGGATGAGACCACTATTTTTTTTGTGTGACCTAATTCGTGAGATTTTGTTGTTGTTGACCCGTCACCCCCCCCCCCCCCCGTGGATCCACGCCTGCAGAGGATCCAGCCGGCGTCAATGGGGGGGGGGGGGTAGCCAAATCTTAATACAAAATTTAGTGCCGTCTCAGCCGGCCGGCGAATAAGCGGGGGGGGGGGGGATGGGGCGCTTTTGTTTTTTGTTTTATAAAGGTTAACTTTACGTTATTATCCTATTTTTTTTTATCGTTTTGGGGGGCTGGGGGGGGGGGGCCGGGCCGGAAAAATCGCTACGTGGATCCGCCCCTGATGAAAGCCATTACAAATGTAATCCTAGGAATCCCAACATCAGTTCCACTTACTCAGGTTCAATAAAAATGTTGGCTTAGCTTTTATCAGTGTCAAGAGATCAAGGTAATTTAAAGGGATTGCCCATGAACTGTCACACTATATTGTGTGGCTCAGAAAGAAAGAAAACCGGATATTTCCAATTACAATGACATAATGACTCAAAGTTGATGATCTTGACATCATTTTTTATCATTTCGAAAAAGAATGATCTTCTTAATGAAGTAAGAATTAGGTCAATGATGAAGTTGTAATTGTAGATCCCAGGTGTTCCGTTCTTTCTAGCCCCCCCCCCCCCATGTATATAAAAACCATTATTCTATCATAGGGATATTTATATTTCTTTATTTTTGTTTTCGGGGGGAGGGGGAAGATTTCGGCAATTCAAGGAAAGAATACAATTCATATTTGTAAATGTTTTTAAATTAATCGTTATCACTAGTGGTATAGAGTTTGGATTAATATCATTGCTTCTTTGTATGAGATTCCTTTTGTTCTCTTACTATCATCAAAATATGTTTGTAACATTTATTCTTTTCTTATACATGTTTGCATTTTGACGTATCGACTTGTGAAAATGTTATGTTTTGTGAATAACGTTTATGTCTTTTGAAGAAAGAAGACACATATACAAAATAAAGATTGAGCTTGTTTGTACTATATTGCGTACTGATATGTCTTCATTATTTTAACTGTAAGGAATCACTATATCGCAAATGATGTTACAGTGCTTGCACACGTTGAAATTATTAATAGATAAGCTGGGAAAGATATAATGAAGGAAATTAACTTTAATAATTCCACTGTACGTACCAACGGAACTTAATGACACCACCACACAAAAAGTTTGCAAAACTTTCTCCTGTGCTCCTCTCTTTCTCTCTCTCTAACTATATCTTCATTCAATTTAAGGACGAAACTGTCATCTTTTTCAACATGTTTTAACAATTCCTCGATCAATGTGGTATCAAACCACTTTCCCTGAATATTTTCTTTCCTTTCATCCTCGAATTCTATTAAATTCTTTAACACACCTCCTGCAAACATATACATACTTGCCACAAAAAAATTGGATATAATTACAGTTTTAAAACTATGCAGTATTATCTAGCAAATCATTTTCTTTCTTAATTTTAAAATATGACTTATGTTAAAGAGGGAAAACAAAAATCACAGAATTATCATGTTATTTCTATAAATATCTCATACACCAGCAGGTGTATTGTACTACAGAGGAAAAAGACGAGATAGAATCAAATAAATGCCAATTGTAATAAACAATAGTTTATCTTCTTTGAATTTCTGTAAAATATACTTTATTTCGATACAATTATTTGACAGTCTTCAAAGGCACATGCAAATCATGAAATTTACAAGAGACAAGTTAAACACGTCCAGCGATGATATGCAATTAGGAGTTAAGTCCGAACGTGTACATAAAAAGGGCATTAGTACCAATCAATACAATTGAACCACAGGCATTGCACCACATTTGCAAAAATCTACAGATTAAACATGCATGTAGTAGAAAAATGTCTTATAATTGTGATTACGAATAAAGAATTATTTCTAACATCACCTGGGTAAAAGAATGGTGCAATATTGTGAAGTTGACATTGCCACAGAAAATGAGGTAAGAATACAAACGAAGGCAAAATAGATTATATTGATATCATTTACTTGGAGAATTGATCAACTCAGCCTACGCATATTTCATGATTTCTTTGAGGTCTTGTTAAAATAACAGATCATATTACTGTTCATTCTTGGCCGGCCATCCTTAATTTATACACATGTATAGTATATTTGTGTGTTTGGAATGATATGAAAGGTTGAGGCATAAAATGAATTCTGCCACTTAAATAAATGGGGTTTACT